GTATAATATTACTCGTTAACTATTGACGCTAGCGGAAAATTTTTATACAGAAATTGTAGATCTCGTCATCCTCTACAAGAAAGGTCATATGCAATTTTTCCGTATGTCCAACGGTTTAGGAGCTATTGGCCAAAAACGAAAATTTGGAAGAAATTGAAGGGGTACCCCTTGGAAAAATCTCGGAAAAATCGAAAATCTTTTTTGTTCTTTATTATTAGCATTGTTCTTCCGACGTTTGATTTCTTTTTAAAAAATGCGTTTCTAAAGTGCATAAACTTTTGGGATTGACTGTATAGCCAATACATCCTTAACTGAAAATCATGTTGTTGAAAGATTGCCAGTTTACGGAAAGCGTGAGAGAGTTTGGATGCAAGTGAAAAGCACAATATTGCATTGCCTGTCTTAATTAATAGGATTTTGTCCTACGAGCAGGAGAAGTGAGAGCGCTTTTTGGTCAGAAAAGAGACATGGTGTGACAGTACGATACTTTCACCAGAAATACGAAGGGATGAAGTTACGGCGAGTTTCTTAACACATGTTAACAAATTGTTTAAATCTGAAATGTTTCTCCACGAACACCACATTGCAAATTTTAGTACTTATCTCAGTTTTATACATAAAATATGGTTATTCATAAATTATTACCAGCATTATAGAATTTTACAATAAAAATTATGAAGCATTATAAAAAGGTAAAGATAAAGATTAGTCAGTGTAGAATGGAGCATTAAACAAAAAATTTGTGTGCACTTTCCAAAATAAGTTCTACATGGTATTTTAGTATGATATATACTATTGTTTATAAATATGAAATGTCAAGTATTATATTGAACAGGTAATTACGACAAATTCAATTTGCTATATATACAGACCTAACAACTTCATTTCCAACGGCGCCGTGGCTTAGTTGGTTAAAGCGCCTGTCTAGTAAACAGGAGATCGAGGGTTCGAATCCCTCCGGGGCCTTGAAAAGTTGATAACAATCGACTGTTTCCTCATCTTTTGTGGTTTTAATATTTTATAACACACGTAGATTAGCATAATTCAATATTAAAATTTCATTTAATGGTCCACAAGGAGAATAGTCTGAATCTTAATGAATATTGTAATTAATTTGTGGAATCACTGATTATGTTTTAATACAATTGAAAATTTTGTTAGATGTATTGTATAATCATTATTAGAATTATCGTAAAAGAAAAAGAGAGGGGATATCAGGAAAAATAACTGTACGTAATATTTTTGAAACATCAGAAAATATGAATTTATGAAACCATAGATTGATAAGGCTACTAAATTTTTATCAAATGATATACACGCTACCTTTTAATATTCATCGTTTTTCTCCATAAACCCTTCAAGTATTATCCTATCATTGCCCTAATAATGTTTATTCTCATTCATATCTGCTAAATTATTATCTCACTGATATATTTTAATTTATATACAATTGTATATTAATAATTTGAAAATGTGTTAGGAATTTGCATACATACATACATACATACTTATAAAACAGAATAGAAATCAGTACCATCGTTTACACATTGTAAATATAATGCAGTTCTAAAAATTTATAGATTGCAAAATAACATGATATTCTTATTGTGGATAAATATCTTACTATTTCATTGTATGACGCAAAATGATAGTGATTCTAAACGTCCAAATGAATCACGATTTTCGAGCTGTGTAATTGTTACAGCAATGAATAATTCTAACATGAAATATAAATGTTTTAATCACTTACCAATTCGCTGTGTGAGCAGTGAAATTGTGGCACAATTTCTCAAAACCACGCACGTATAACCTCGTGATTAGCCCTCACTTTCTTATTTAAACTTGACTAACAAACAACTGAGTGTTGCGTACTAAATTTACGCGACAGTGTCGCCACACGCGTGAGATGTCGTTAAGGTGGCTACCTTGTGCACCAATCGTAGCAGCCAGAGAACTTCGTTGTTGTCGTTCAGTACGGTGCGTCGTGTTCTAACCTTGTTTCGCGCGAAAATGAGTTCATATATGGATCCACTTCAGTTAAATGAAAAACGTATGTTTCGGGAACTGCAGAATAGTTTACCGAAAAATATTAAAGATACCCGAAATATTTTGGAAATTCATAACAATGTGTTGTACGTGTGGAACGCAAACGATTTTTGTGTTATGACATCAAACGTTCCGGCGAGTCATGGGAACAACGGAAAAGCTGTCTCTTTCCAAGTAAGTAAACCACATTTTATTCATGCGAACATTATTTACTGTATGTCTCAATTGGATACAATGATAAGACGTACTTTTATATATATCGCGTAAGTTTGTTGTACACAAACGTAACCCTGTTTGATACAGAAGCGCGCAAGCGCTTCAATGTATACATGTATACATATAAAATAAACTACGTTGTGCTGTATGGAAACTAGCGAAAGTAAATTGATAATAAGTAGTCACAAATGGATCGAATGAAGTTATGGTATATATTATCATCTTATACAGGCACCGACCGAATAACATACAACCAAAATGATTCTTTACAGAAAATACAATAGAATAAGATATTTTCGTCCAAGGTTTACAATTAATTTCGAGAAAATCAACTTTAAATTCCGTTCCGACTTTTACTTTTTGGTAAAATATACGCGACGTATAATATACTTATTAAGATGTGGTAAACTAACTTACTACGGCCATATTAATTATTCATTACCATAGCAATTAGCAAATTGATTTCACTTCTTACTGATATCAAATAAATCCTGAACAATAGAAGATTAATTTACGAAAAAATAACTTATCACTTTAGTTCACGTGTCCGTAATAGTTGTATGATAGGAAAGAACACACATACATATATTTTATTAGTACGCTTTGTATTGTGGTCTAATTGAAAGTTACGAAGTCCAGATTCTCATGTAAATGTGCAGCTTGAGATAGTGACCCCTGGTAACTTCCTCTCGGGAGATAATATTAAAAAACAGTAATAAATCTACGACTTTTTTTTCAGTGCTTCATCTAGCATTGATGCTGCTAGATTTTCATTGACACAAACTATACAAGAAAGGTTCTATATATTTTTCTTCTAACTCCAGTATTTAAGGAGTTAAGCATTATTAATCAACACTTTATTGGCACTGACAAAATCCGGCTGTTTCCGTTGTCGAAACAGCAAACTTTTCACCAAAAAGTTCGTTTGCCCTGAAATACTTCTAAACCGTTGATCCTGAACGGGGAAATTGCATATAACCGTATTTGTAGTTGACAACGAGAGCTACAAGTTCTGTATGAAACATTTTTCGCTAACACCGATATGAGTATTTGACGATAAGATAAAACGATAAAACAGTTTATTGGCGAGTGTTTGACGATAAGATAAAACGATAAAATAGTTTATTACAAAATACTTGTTAACTATTGATGGTAGAAAAAAATATTTCATACGTTACTTGTTGCTTTTTATGGTAATCACAACTTTCATTTCAAACACTTTTCATTAGCGGCAACAGGTAAGCAGTTATTGGCAATAAACGAAGATTTCGAAAAATCTGAAGGGACACTTGATGAAATCTGGAAAAATAAAAACTTTTTTCCTCAAACTTTCAAAACATGCTTCAAATAAAAGTTGTAGCTACTGCTATTACCTGCAAAAGAGGTCGGATACAATTTTTTTCTATCTGGAATTATTCAGGACTAATTAATTAAGTAGTTCGTTCATCGCCAATTATTCCTTAACGAATGGAGTTAAAAGTAAATTGCAAAAACCTTTTTTCCTATCTGACAATTACAGGTCATCAAGACGTAAATTAAAATAGTTTTCATTGTGAAACGTCAAAATTATGTCAACATCCAGCAGCATCGATGCCAGATTGAGTATTGAAGAAACAAGACATAGACTTACTATTCTTTTTGAATCTTGTCCTCTTAAGGGTAATTAAAATTACCCTCTAAAGGGTAAATTAATATGAACCTGGCCAAGAATTCCAAGCACCCAACTCATTGTATTTTGGTTGCAGACACAAATCCCACTCCGTATATCGTTAAAAACAATAAGTACTTGTGTGTGTTTCTTTTCAGCCAAAATACAATAAGTCGAGTATCCAATATATACATTTATCAAGTTCAAAGAAATAACAAGGACCATTTAAAAAAGCGTAGCCGAGCTTTGACGTGACTAATAGTGTCCTAAACACAACGATGACATTTGGTCGGTGGATAAGTACAAGCTCGATAACTGAGATCATTACTGTGGCACAGCGCATTCGCTTTACGGTGATTACTGCGAAAGCGTTTTCTCCAGCGAACTTTTGATTCGGACCGATTAAGCTCGAAGTGAATTATGGTCCGCGATACCAATATACACGCGGTCGCAGAGACGCGTGTCCACGCGAACGCCACGAGTATGCGTCGCGCGAGTTAATCGGTGTACGTATACATACGCATGCTAGTGGAAAATGATTACGTGGTAAATGAAAGGGAAGCGGCACGACGAACTTGCCGCGTTGAGAATGGCCAGTACGTTTCGTTCTCGCCTGTGCTTTTATTTCATTTCAATGGCAACGTGGGATCAGCGGGTACATTAATGCCTCGGCGTCCGTGCACGAGCGCGCGCGCGCGCACCACCGCGACCGACCGGCCGACCGAGAGGACACGCGAGAGACCAAAAGACCGGTGAGGGGATAATTTATAGGAAATGGGTTGTTCGACGCTCTGGAGTAATTTAATTAAAATAAATGTCCGTGGCACGGAGGAACGTTAGCCACGAACCCGCGGTCCACAACTGCGAATAAAATGCAAATTCAGACCCTTCACCGGGTTACGTATGGGTATTCGTAGCTAGGTAGATAAAGAGTACGCGCCGAGGGGGAATAGAGAAGTCTCACAAAGGGTTCTCTCTCTTTCTCTTCCTCTTTCTCTTTCTCTTCGGGGACCGATCATCGCTCGTTCACCCGTTGATTTGATAAGGGAAATTCCTGAGGAGACTCTATCCGCTTTTACCATTCATCCCCTTTTCCTACGGTGTGCTCTTCCTCTTAGGTCGATTCCACAGTTGGGGATGAAAATTCAAACAATTCGTATAATTGAGACAAATTTTGTTAAAAGAGTGGGCGACGGAAAGAAATCCCTTTAAGAAGTCATTTAGTACATCTTCCGTAAGTCTTCAGTTCGGTTGTTTCGCATTGGCGGAAGTAAACGTTCAGTGTCGTTTTCTCTTCAACTAAGATGCTGTACAGCTATTAAAGAATTCGGATAATGGTTACTGTAAATTTTCTACGAGTCAATTGAATCGTAGAACAATCGTCGCCGCTCCCAAGGGCCACTTTATAGCCGGTGTGTGCATGCGCGCTGGCCGACTGAAATATCGGTCGTAAATAATAAAAGTTAGCGAGGTTCCTCCCTGGCGCGCACGGCGGGACTTTAAACCGGAAGATAGGTGTCGCAGGATACGGACGAGGCAGGGGCGGGAGGGGGGCGAGATGAGAAGGGCGAAAGAGGCAGCGGGGCAGCATCAGGGTGTGGGGCGGAGACAAAGACGCGCTATTGTCAACCGCTCCGCCATCGGAACCACCATCCGCCGCGGGAAACTTTGAATCATTTTTATTGCATAGAGTTATCTTTGTTACCAGCGGAACGAACGTCTAAACGCGTCCTCTCTATCCCTTTCTGTACTCTTTCTTCCTTCGTCTTCCTTCCAACCAACCCCACTAAACTCACCCTCCTCCTGCGATGTTCGTACAGGTTATTCCCTCTCGTCGTTGGTCCTCGCGTTCCAGCTTCCCTCTACCTGCACGCCCTTTTTGTTCTTCTCGCTCGACGCGAGATAATACGAACGAGGAAGCGTTCACACCCCTTTGGCTACCCAAATGGAATAAGTTCTTTAATTCGCGAATTTACCGCCGCTCTAACGAATTGCCCATCCTTCTCGTCGAGATAACAAGCCTTCCTCTGGCCGCGCTACCAGTTTTAACTTTTAATTCTTTCCTGTACTCTGGATCAGCGAGGCTCACGATGATCCGAAGAGAATTATTAAATTCGATAACGTGTCGTGTGTGTCGGCCGATTTGTCTATATCTTCTATTTTCATCATGAGAGTCAGTGTATATATGAAATTACACGAATATTCTAACAAGAATTTAAACACGTTTTAGTTTGCGCGTAGAGTTTGAAAACTTGTAGAAAGTAAAGAAATATTCACGAAATGGATATATTTTGCCTCTGCGAAAAAGATGAGAAATCATTCGAATTTATAACATGTTGGCAATTCGCCTAGTCCGCTTGAGCTTTCCTATATGCCATCTTATCTAAATTAAAAGCGATTATTCGCGGAGCGGCGCGACACGGCGTCCCAAGAACCAGGCGCACAACGAAAATACTTGTCTCAGGCTGAAAGAATGGAATATCACGTAATAAGCTAAATCCTCCCGACGATAATTAAAAAGCAATTTTACGGTGACATTCGTACGTAGCTACAACGGCCGCTTTCTTTGCCAGAGGTAAATACTCCAACACACGTACACGCTACGTAGCAATAATAAGTATACCTATATGTATAAACCTGACTGCACAGCTATGAGCTTGCCTCTGAACATATAGGAAAAAAGCTAGGTGACCGTCTGTAATCAGATTAATTTTTATTTCTCAGTCGTTGAAGATATTACCATTTAATCTTTTTCCATTTGTAAAATCTTATAGTTCCATAAATTGTAATCTCGATGAACTTCTTAATTGAGAGAACATATTTATATAGAGGTATACAAAATTCAAGTAGTGAAATTTCAATCCAAGATTGTGCATAATTAAAAAAATACGTTTCACGAGAAGGCGTTTCGATGAAGCGCAAAGATTCTGCCCTGACACATATTTGTTTTACACCCTGTACGATAGTCAGGTTCGCGCACGGCCGTGCAAGCAAGCGTAGGGGATTGGAGGATGGTTCCCGTCAGTTGCTGGGTACAAGTTAGGTGGTCCTGCACATGCAAGTATACGAGGAGATACGCAGAGCAATAAAATTCACGGGAAGTGTTTTACATTAGTAGCGTGGGGGGAGTCTGTGTGCTCTGTGGACACGG